AGTGAAATGAGCTGAAGTATCTGAGCAGCATCATGATCAGAGCTGCTCCACTTCTCTACATGATGAGGAAAGAAGCTTCAGTGCTTCCTATCTTATCTCCTTTAGCCTAGGAAACACTGGACCTTCCTTTATGAAAGGAAAGGAAGTGCTGTCCCACAATTCCTTGCTGTAACAACATTTAAACACCGTTGAAGTTTCACCACAGCAGAGACATGTAAGTGTAGAAACAACAGAGATACGTTTGTGACACGATCAAGAACTGGTGGACAAGAAGAGAAAGCTCGACTTTCTCTACTTGTACTTTCTTTCATGTTATCTTATTTCAACATTTCAATCCTGTTTGTTTTGTTTTTGTGTTTTAAACTTTAAAATAGGATTTATCATCCAAGTGTTATAAATAAAATTAGTTGTCTTTTATATATATAGTCCCTATGAATTTTCCTTCATATCTTTCCTTGACCTCATGACATTTTCCATGGAGGTCGAGGAGAAGTGCTTAGAGAGGAGATTATTTAGACTTTTCGGCCACAGTCTTTGTGTCTGCATTTGGTCCTTCCCCTAATGTTCGTGGCTTCTGCCTTGATTATTTATATCAAATATAACCAGTCCACTCAGCTTGTTTATAAATAATAATTTGCTGTACATGTTTTATTCTACACTAAATAAGGATTTTGTTACAGTAAACAGTAACAGACGTTCCACCGCACCTCACCTCCTGACATGTTGGTGTCTCTGTCTAAAATACATTCAACAGAGGAAATTAGTAGAATATAAAGGAGACAGACCTGTTTTTTAAAGTGTTACAGATTCACATTCATACACACACTCTAAAAATGGTCCTTACACACAGCAGAATCACTATCCTCTGAGAGCAGCTAAAATAACATCAGTTTACCAGCAGCTATTTGTGGAGCGGGTTTATTTGACCAGAGGAGTTTCCCCTCCGAGGCTCCGAGTAAACACAGAGCGAGGCAGAGCACCGAGGTGCCACATCTGTGGGCAGCTGGTCCGACCTGAGCGTCCCACTGCAGCTGAGGCTCCCACACTGGAGGTGGACAGGTGGTCCACAGTCACACTGACATTAACTGAAACTCCTGGAATCTTCACATATCTCTGCGCATGTGTTTGATCAAACCTGTGAAGTCCAACTGAAGAAATGTTGTTTGTTTTCCTGCAGTGACTGAACCTCCTACTCTGACATTGTCCAGTGCAGGTACAGTTTTAGAACTGAATGTCACGGTCGAAGGATTTCTGGACCCCCACCAAACACAGACACGAAGGCGGAGAGATGCTTTAATAACAAAAACAGGTTTATATGCAGATGTGTAGAAAAAAATGAGTGTTCAGACAGACAACCCAGACTCTGAGAATCCAGATGGAGGCAACTAAACCGCAGAAAAAAACACAGGAACATGAGGAATGAATTGAGGAAACACCAGAGGTCTGTATTACTTCAGGTTTAACTCTGGGTTTTCAGTCCTACAATGATGGTTCACCTCTTACTGGGGTAAATCAGCATGGCAACATGCTGAAGTGCTAACCTGCTCCTGACCAGGTTAAGTTCAAGACAGCAGATCAACATGTGTAAAGTCACCAGCTGCTGACCAGTCACTTCTCTGGACCATTACATCGTCGTTGGTTGAGGATCCTGTGTAGCTCGGTGCCAGATCATGATCCGGTCTCTCACCAGGTTAGAGAGTTCAGAGACTGGCTTTGTCTTTCCATGACAATTCTCTATGTGAGACACGAGATAAGCTGCATGTGTCAGCTTCATGAGCCTTACACCGTTAGTGCGACGCAGTCGGTCTCAGAGACCAGATTGCATCATGTTGTTGTGTCTCTGGTAGTTTTATGTGTGTTGTGGGTGAACACAGTCTGCAGGGCCTTTGTCCTGCTCCCTGGACCCTGCCTCACAGTCCATAAAACAGGGCGTTTATAGCAGGTAGACATTAACCTGTGTGACTACCTGATCCATAATGTCAACCCTCATATGCATGATAAATAATTAAAGGTCATTTTCCTTTGGTACACATGGTAATATTCACACAGAACAGGAGTCACAGTTGGACCATGAAGTCCTTTTTAAAGGCACATTGATGCCACATGGACTGTCTTGCTGTAAACCTGTGCTATTATTATTGTAGATGACTGGAGATCATCACTGCATGGTCACCAGCACTGAGGCACAGTGGTCTGGAGCAGTCTGTTAAATGTAAGTATTGGGTTTCAGCTCAGTTCAACAGCTTACGGTACAACTGTTAAAACCACAGGCCTTAAAACCTCAAGTTTCTGTAAAAAAAAAAAGAAAGAAAAAAAACGTTACGTGTTGTCTAGGTTGCCAGGACGACAGGAGCTGCACTTTCAACAGTAAGGGCAGGCACAATCCTCTGTAGACCTTGACTGACTCATTTCAGATTGGCCTTCGCGGTCTACGAATTGGGACACAGCTTACTGTGCACTGTATGAATTAAGGTTCATTCATTACCACCTGTGATCCTCTTGGTCTGGAGGTGGAGACTGAAGGGAGAAGATTTCCCTCTTCCTGTATATTCATCAGGGTCTTCATCAAGGGACTAAAGTGACCTCCAAAGCTCACTGAGCTCAGACACTTGTAACCATGACAGCGAAGGTCCTCTAACCTTAATGGAATAATTATGATACTTCCTTTCTGAACCAAACCAAACTGTGACTGTTCACTGAGCTTAACCACCAGTTGATTATTGTTTAGTTTATTTAGGAAGAAGAATCTTTAGATTTACAATAAAACAATAAACACGCAGAGAAAAAACTATCCACACACACACATACATACAAGTACACACACTGGAGCAGTAGCAGCGGGGGGGGGGGGGGGGGGGTTACATGCCTTGCTGAAGGGACCTTCAGGAGTAGATGTTGATGGAGGGAAAGCTTTACTTAGCTTTTGCTCTCAGGCTGCCCCCTGAGACCACCTGGGTGCAGATCTGAGTCCTGGACTCGTCTCCCCCCCCCCGCTGCCTCTCTCTCCTCTGACAGTGACTGTCAGTGACGTGTGGGCTGTCAGGACGGTGGACTGAGAGCCATGTGATCACTAAGCACACAGTGCACGTGATGAAGTCCACCAGTGTCAGTGTGGATGGACAGTGAGTGTGGGCAGTCCCCATTCATTGGTGCATCAAAGCCTCTTTGTAGCATTAACACACAATAGGAGACTGAAAGTCAGACTGTGGTTCTCTGAGCAGCTGCTTTCTGCAGAGCCACAATCGGCCCCTTCATCTGATCCCAGGGGTCAGGAAGGATCGTCCTGTTGGGCCCACAACAAAGGACTTCCACACAAGCTGTCAAAGCCAAATGATGCCCCCCCACCTCCCCACCCCTCCTGCAACATCAGCAAATGGTCGCTCTATCCTGTAGTCATTATCCAAATGTATGTGAAGACACTGGTCAACTGTGTGTGTTCTCCACAGCTCTGCTGACTGCAGGGTCGGTCAACTGTCACTGATCTGCTTTCATCTCATCCTGCCTCACGTTGTGATGCACCCGGTTACACTAAGTGCATTTTGATTGGAAGTCTGTCTTTCCATAGCACATCATCAGCTTTCTCAACATAAAAAAACACTGTTCCCACTGCCTCTTTATTCACTGGAGCTTTCCTTACGTCATCCTGTAAACACAGGACTGAGACTAACGTGCTCCTGAATCCACTCTGACACACAGCCTCAAATTCTATCTCCTTTCCCTCTCCTTGTCCAGTCTCTTCACAGTCTTCACTGAACTGTTCCCCATCGTCATGTTCTCAAATAGTTCCCTCATATTGCCACTGAGGGGAACCAGAACTCACCCCCTTGTAACCAAGGAACCTCTCATCATCTTCTTTACTTTCTCCACCTGCACTTCACTGCTGCATCCTATTAACAAGTTTCCATCTCCCAAAACTCATAAAAAAAAAAAACTCCCACAGTAAGGAACAGTGTAAGAACATCGTTCTGGACCTTAACAGGCCGTTGTTGATGCTCCTACAGAATATTCAACACCTAGGCCTACCCTTTTACCAGTCCTGAGGTCCACAATCCAAAGTCAGTGTAGTTTAATCAGAAAAAAAGAGTAAAAACAAGTCGAAAAATATAACCAGTGTAGCAACATACAATTCAATCCTCCAGGTTCCATGTCCTGGGCAGGACATGACACTTTATCTCACCAACATTGCACACATGAATGCACTTGAGCTTTATCTGGTCTTCTATATTGATTTGAACATGTTTTAAATTAAAAAATGGAAACTGAACTCATTCATTCATTTTCTACCGCTTATCCTCTAGTAGGGTCACGGGGGGGCAGGAGCCTATCCCAGCATCCTTTCGGGCGAGAGGCGGGGTGCACCCTGGACAGGTCGCCAGTCCATCGCAGGGCACACAGAGACAAACAACCATTCACTCTCACAGTCATACCTATGGTCAATTTGGAGTAACCAATCAGCCTAGTCCCCATTTGCATGTCTTTGGACTGTGGGAGGAAGCCGGAGTACCCGGAGAGAACCCACACAAGCACGGGGAGAACATGCAAACTCCACACAGAAAGACCCCGCGTCCGGGAAACTGAGCTAACTGAGTTATTTAGTTATAGTTGGTGGCATCTTGTTTATCCCTCTGTGTGATTTTTGGTTTTGGCCAAGTCACCATATATGTTCCTCCATGTGTCAGTTTGTTCAACTAACACCTTGTTCAGTTGTCATAGTGAGTGTAGTGATATTCTTTTAAAGATTCTCTCTCTTAAGTTTCAAAGATGCAAACTGTTTTCAGCAGGTTCAGAGATTTTCTGCCTCCATCATCGCTGAGGAACAGTGTGTTCACAGTCAGTCGACCTGAGTCTGAACAACCTGTTCAAAGGTCAGAGGCTGTTCAGTCTGACTGTGACACCACAGATGAAACATGGATCCTGAGACACCAGGAGAATTCACAACAATTAACAACATTTACACAAAAGGGCTGGCTTGAAGTTTCCTCCTGAGACAAACAGTCACAAACAGTCAATGAAGGTTTTAATCATTTTGAGGAAAAAGCTCATTAAAGATTCAGAGAAAATATCTGTTAATTGATAAGTGGAGATCAGGTTGGTATTAATTGAGTCTGTCAGTATTTCGCAGTCCCAGCTCAGCCTCTTCATAACACTGAGCGATGATCAGGTCCAGCTGGGTGGACTCTGGACTCTGAGGCCCTCCTGTGGACCGCGTCAGCCTGTGAGGACCGTGGGTAGACGTACCACATGACTACACCTGAGGGGTTGATGGAGACCGTGAACTCTGTGGTGACATTCAGCCCCGTCACCGTGGAGCCAGTGAACACGTCGTAGGCCTGCAGACAGGAGAAGGTCACATGTGACGATATGAAATCATGAGTTTAAGACCTGAACAGAAGAAGAAGAAGAAGAAGAAGAAGAAGAAACTCACATTCTTAAGATGGAATATTAATATATCTCTGTTCTCAGTATTTTATTTTACACTCTGATAGAAGACGTGTCATGACTCACTAAGCACAGTCCCAACAGCACACCGAAGAGGTGCATGCTGGGTAAATGACCCTGCCCATTCATATTCATACATGATCATATCTTACTGAGTCATCATGTATTATTCTGAGAAGTCTCAAGGTCTGAGATAAGATTACATCTCCAGGTGACCAGGTACACCTGCATTTAAACTGTGAAAACACAAATGGTGCGTGATGATCAGCTCTGATTGGCTGATGGTGCTGCCTTTCTTCTAAAATAAGAGCACAGTGTTATTCAAGACCAAAGAACCAATCAGCTGTGTGAGAATCTGTATCTTCTTCCTCTACATCTCTGTTCTCTGTTTCTCATGTTGATTCCACATTACATTTCCTCCGGAGCATCAATAAACTTTCATCTTTTCTCCTAATATGTTTCCAACCAACAGTCCAGCAGCACATCTCCACACCACAGAGGCTGGAGCCACAATATGTTGTTTTTTCTTGATCAATGCAGAAACAGTCGATTGATTAATCCATCAAGTAGACAGATGAACACACAGGTGAGGACACAGCCGGCGAACAAACCTCATAGTTTCCAGCTTCATAGTTGAGTTTATCCAGAGAGCAGTGGTAGAGGAGCGGCATGTCTGTCCTCCGGCTCAGGAACACAAGGCTGCTGGCTGAGTGAGACAGAGGCCTCCAGTACACCTCAACACGACTCTTCTCCTGCTCACACACACACACACACACACACACACACACACACACACACACACACACAGACATATTATTTCCCTTTTAGTTTACCGTAAACAAGCTGATGTCTCAGTGATGATGATAATAATGATGCTGACCTGCAGCAGGCGTCGTCCCTGGATACCCAGGGGGTCCTGGTTGATGGCGATGGCCACTTTGTTCTGCAGGATGGCCCTCGCACTGTTGTCCAGATTTCGCAGGTCATTAGACATGATCAGAGGCGCCGCCATGACGGCCCACAGAGCCATCTGAGAGCGAGCCTGGTCCACGCTGAGGCCGAAGTTACCGATGATCAGCTGAGGAGAGAGTCAGAGGGATAAAGGGACCGGGGTCATCTGCAGTGAATAGATGTGACACAGAGGAGTTGACAAGAGGAGGGAGTACATGTTACTGCAGATACACCAAACTGACATAAACAAGCGACCTGTGAACCACATGACTGCTGTACACATGGTTCATCATGGTTTACTGGGTGCTATGAACCCAGATGGTTTGGAGTGAGGTCACCTTGGTTGTGAAAGCTCCCTGAGAGACAGCAGTTCTGATCAGTTGTGTTTGAACCCACCGTACCATGTCAGGGTCATTCCACCGCCCGGGTCCCGCTGCCGGCTGCAGATCATCCTGGTTGTTGGAGAACCAGTTGACGATTCCCTGCACACTGTCCCAGGAGTCCTGGATATCATCGTAGTTCCTCCACAGGTGACAGATCTCCCCCAGTAGAGAGTAGTTCACCTGGTGGGAGCAAAACATAAAGGCTCATTCAGTCAACAACAGAATATATTTAAACTAAAGACTGAGAGTCCACCATTTAAAACTGTATAAAGTATCAGTTCAGACCAGCTCCACTTGCAGCAGCTACAACAGTAACAAGCTGCTGACACACTGATGATTCAGTATTATAGATGTCAGATATAATCATGTATCAATTATAATCATAAATTAATCAGAAACCAGATCGGGACTTTGACTTTAATACTTTAACAACATTATAGCTGCTGACGCTGATGTACTTTGACTTCAGTAGGATTTGTATTTTTATTGTATTGGTCCTTTTACTTAAGTGAAGAAAGCTAAAAAACATGCTGCACAAGAACTGACGGATGCTATGACAAATGTATACAATTGGCTTGAGAAATCCCAACTGTACTTGAACATATCCAAAACTGTATGTATGTACTTCTCAAAGAGAGCAAATTCTGACAGCGATCCTAAAGTTTTAGTACATGGTAAAACAATCGAGGTGGTACAACAGTTTAAATACTTAGGAGTTACTCTTGACTCGCATCTTCTTTTTAAACGACAGATAAAAAACACTGTGAATAGAATTAAGTTTAACTTGTCCAACTTCAGGTTTATTAGAAATAACCTAACCCCTGAGGCAGCTAAAATGTATTTTGACAGTATGATTATGTCACACCTGTCCTATTGCGTAACAAGCTGGGTGTCGGCTTGTAAGACAACACTAAAGCCAATTGAAACAGTCTATAAACAAGCTCTGAAAGTATTAGACAAAAAAACGAAAACGTACCATCACTGTCAGATATTAAAAAAACATGAGCGCTTAAGCTGGGACAATATTGTTAAACACACTGACGCGATTTTGATTTATAAAATTTTCCACGGCAAAGCACCTCCTCCATTACAGGAATTTGTGAAAAAAAACTCAAACAGATCAACTAGAGCCGGTTCTAGAGGTGACTGTGTAGTTCCTTTTAGAAAAAGTACCTTTAGTCAAGCTGCTTTTTCTTTTCGTGCATCTCACACCTGGAATTCAATACCAAGCATGATACGTGAACTTCCGTCTCTGACTTCTTTCACCAAACATGTTAAAAGCTTGGCTACTGGAAGATCAACATTGTAACCACATCTTAGCCTAAAACTTGTATAGCTGCTCAGTGTTAGCCAATTGTTGGGGTACCATCCGCAACTCCCAATGAGTGCATACCCAGTATTGTGCATTCAAAATAGCAATTATCTACTGTACAATTAGGCAATCTGCAATATAAGTATGCACTTAACACTTTAACACTATAGCACTTTGCACTTTAATCAGCTCTCTGATATTTATCTATTTAAGTTTTTAGCATCTAAATACTAGTGAAATACGTACAATACCCCAACCCTTGGTCTGCATGTTTCATGATCTACAAAACTACTGTATCTTTTTTTGTCTTCCAATTGCCCTACTTGTTGTTACTGTTGTTTATTGATTTTATTATTTCACATTGTTAACATCAACCTGCCAAAGGGACTGCAGATGGAAATTAGCCGCTTGGCTATAATCTGGCATATTTACATGTATATGTTCATTAATATGCACTGTCCCTTGTTTTTAAATAAATAAACTCCAAACTCCAACAACTACACTGTTTACACTGTGTCAGGTTCAGGTCAGGTTCAGGTCAGGCTTGGTTTCTGCTGTCTCAGACTGTGGTCCATTGCTGTGCCAGCAGACTGTACTTAGGCAACAGGCTGCTTTTAGCTAAACGCTAACCAGATGCAAACATGCTCACAATAACAATGTTAACATGCTGATGATCAGCAGGTGTAATGTTGCCAAGACAGGAAAGATTCTCATGTTAAGCTTTCACATGATGCGACGCCTGCACTCAGGTGTGTGATTACAGAGGAGGTCATGTGACAACATTACAGCATTACATTGATAAACAGTCTTTGACTGATGTGAGGCGTCCATGTTTTTTTGATCTTCACACACGTCTGATACTTCTGATCAGAACTTTCCATGTCGTCATGACGACTGGGACATTGACATGAACATTTCACAAGAGGGAAATTACAGTAAACCTAATATGAGGTGAATACAGCATTAGCATGTTAGCATAGTTTAGTATGTTAGCACGCTATAACTAACTAGCACTCATAAACTTGTCAGAAGAATTCTTTAGTTTCACTGCAGTAGTAAATCATCCATTCTTGTTGCAGATTCAGTATTGACAGTGACCCAGCTCCTGGTCATTGTCATTGACACAGTGAGGACACTCACACTAGGGGGAAGTCCTCCAATGTAGACGGGCCAGCTGCAGGAGTAGACCATTGGTCTGCCTGTAGCATTCAAAGCCTTTGACATCAGAGGATAACCTGCGGGACATGAGACAAACACTGAGTCTGTGGCTGGTCCATGATCTGCATTTCAGGTTTTCAGTGACGTCATTGAGTCACATCATCATGTTGAGTCAATGAGTCAATGCTCTCACCCAGCATCTGTTCCACAGGATTAGAGTAACAGCCGTCAAACTTCAGGTAGTCCACCCCCCAGCTGGCAAAGGTCTGGGCATCAAGCTCAATCTTGTCCAGTGTGGTCCCAGGGTATCCCATGCATGTGTGAGAGCCCATGTCTGCATAGATGCCAAGCTTCAGTCCACGGTTGTGGACGTACCTGGCCAGTTTTGCAATTCCCCCTGGGAACCTGGAGGAAAGAGAGCACAGTCTTACTTTACTTACTTTACTTTACGAGTGAAAACATGAGTCCAGACTGTGACCCAAACCTGACGGTGTCTGTTCTGGTTTTACTGTGATAAATGAATCTGAGTGGATACAGACATCAGGCCAGAGGAAGGAGAAGAGGAACCCTCTGAATAACCTGAGCTCATACAGTTAACCACAGCTGTTCCTGACCTGAGGGTCCAGACCAATAGATCAGAGGGTTTGAGGGATTTGATAAGTGGGCCAGATGTTCTCTAATGTTCTCTGATGTTTTCTGAGCCAGCAAACAAGCAACTGCTTATACTGCATTAGGTGTCTGTTCACACCAGCTTGTCTGCACCTACAGTCGACTCAGATCCTCAGGTTTGTTTACTGGATGATGAACAGGAGGAAAACTGGTCCTGATTCATAAACACCTGGTGAGGACGGGTCAGAGGTAGGTCAGTTAGATTGACTGACTAGAGACAGACAGGTACAGGTACAGGTCTCAAATATCATCCATCATCTGTCTCAGAACCAACAATCAGATCTGATCAAACAATGAAACCTGCTGTTGAACATGGACTGAAGTGACTCATGATCCAGATCCTGTTGACTGGAAAAAGGTCACCTCAGTTTCTAATGACTCTGTAGTACTGGATGTTGCTGGATCACAGACCCTGAGGTACGAGGACCAACCTGGAGGGTTCAGGCTGCAGTCTCCCCCCTTTGTCTCTCAGCCTGGACATCCAGCAGTCGTCTATGATCACATAATCATAACCCAGCTCCTTCCAGCCATCCTCAGCCAGCCGGTCAGCCATGTCTCTGAACAGACCCTCACTGTGGAGAGACGGTGGACAGGAAGGCAGAGGACAGGAGGACAGTGAGACAGGATGGACAGAGGACAGGGAGACAGGAAAACAGGAAGGCAGAGGACAGGAGGACAGAGAGACAGGAAGGCAGAGGACAGGAGGACAGAGGACAGGAGGACAATATATATTTTTGTCAGATTGTTGTCAGTCTTCGCATTGTTGACTATTTGTCATGTGTTGACCTCAGTGTGTGTCAGTCTGTGGAGGGTAAATCATTGGCATAGCTGATTATTTGTGTGTGAACAGCTCCACCATGTGGACACTTATATATCACTACACTGATTTCTGCCAGAGAAATGTGACTGTGGAACAGTGGTCCGAGTCTGACTCACTTCATAGTTTGAACACTTCAACAACAACAGGACATCATCATCATCATCATCATCATCATCATCATCATCATCATCATCATCATCATCATCATCATCTAATGCAGACTAAAGACTTATCGCCTCCTGGTTGTTTCCTCTGCCAAAGGTCTTTTTGCGGAACATTATGAAGTCACAGTGACTTTGACATTTGACCCTTTGGATATGAAATATTATCACCTAATTTTGTCCTCGTAGACATTGTTTTATGAGGTCACAGTGGGACAGAAGGAATGAAATTCCCTCTGGGCGTTCCTGATATATTGCATACACAAGATTGTGAGATCACCGTGACCTTGACCTTTGACCTTTGACCACCAAAATCTAATCAGTTCATCTTTCAGTCCAAATGATGTTCATGTCAACTTTGAAGAAGCTCCTACACCTACAGTTCACTCCAGGATCTGAAGATATTTAGATTCTTATAAATCATCAGTCCCATCAGGAGGCGTCTGATTGGTCACATCTGATCCGTCACTCTGCAGCAGACAAACACCCAGAGTCAGCTTTTCACTGCAGAATCAGAACTACCTCAGTGTGGTTTCCTGTCTCTTCTTCCAGCAGCTCTGACCTGGTTCTCTCTCAGTACCCGGCTTCTACCTCAGTCCCTCATTGCTTTATTGACTTCCGTATGTTTACCCAGAACATCAAGTGGAAACAGAATCATGAATCATACCTGATGCAGTTCTCCGGGTCGTCCTTGCAGTCCACGTCACAGCGGAAGCGTTCCCAGGCCATCCATCCCATCGGTGGAGTCCTCAGCAGTCCATTATCCAGGGCCACAGTCAGCGAGACCAGGACCAGGAGCCGAGTCACTGCCAGAGGCCCCATTCCTGAAAGAGACCAACATGCACAGATATACAGAGTGTTGACTGCTGACCTGCTGACTGCTCTCCTGGATTTTATGTTTATGTTTTGTTTATGTTTTTTTTTATTCAGCACAGGTATAACTATGGGTCTGTCTCTACTCTGTATTTTCTCTTTCTATTATTTATATTTATTTTTCACTTCTATGATTCATTTATTTAGCTACTGTAGATAATGGGGCAGAAAGTTCAGAACAAACATTTCAACCTCTCCTCAGCTGACATCTACCTTCCTTTCCTTTCTCTCAGTTTTACTGTGAGTTTAACTGAGACACTTCAGCTTTCACACTTAAAGTGCCACCTGAACTTCTTTAAACACTTCAACTGACACTTTCGCTGCTTCAGCTTCATCTGAAACGAAGCTCACAGAGTCATATGTGGATCCTGTTTTTAACTCATGTGACCATGTTTACATTCACTACGTCAGAAAACATGGCCTCTTCAGTTTGTTCTAATGTAGTACCACCGAGTCATCATAAATCAGGCAAGTTCACTTACAGCCAACAAACTTTATATCTGTTTGTTTCAGTAGGTCTGATACACTCCGTCTCATCACTTCAGATCCTCAGTCAGTGCTGCCTCATAAATATGAAATGTGTGTGTGACACAGCAGGGAACTGTAGTTTTTAACAAACTTTACTCAAAAAGGAGGAAACTGTGCATTTGTTGGGGACTATTTCCAGCAGCAGATTAATCCACTGTTTTGTTTTTAGGCATTTTAAATTCTTCATTGTTTACATCCAAAGCAATCAGTCCTTCCTCCTTTATTTATTTTGCTGGCTCTGCTGCATTTCCTGGCCCAATACCGGCCCGTGTTGGTCACTGAAACAGTGTGAAACCAGAGGCAGGACTGTGGCCTGGTTACACTCAGTAGAGCTTCAGTGCTTCCTATCTTATCTCCTTTAGCCTAGGAAACACTGGACCTTCTTCTATGAAAGGAAAGGAGAAAATGCTGTCCCACAATTCTTTGCAACATTTAAGTTAATGCCCATTGTAGTTTCACCACAGCAGAACCACATAAATGTAGAAACAACAGAGCAGCTGTTTTATGTTTGTGACATGATCCAGAACTGATGGAAATCTTTGTCTGGTCGACTGAAGCCCAGATCCATATATATAAATGTATTCTCTTTCAAATATGATCAGTTGAAGAACAAGCAGACGTGGTTAGAGAGGAGATTATTTAGACGTTTTCGACCGCAGCCTAGAACTCAAAGAAACCACATTTGCATCCAGTCACTTACAGGATGGTGCTGGGCAGAGGGTCATGCTAGAGTTTACGCTTAGAAACGACAGTTTCTATATTTCTATATAAACAAACAGGAGGTAGTGATGGTGTGTGAGACCAGCACACGTCTCGAGGCAGAACGTTCACTGTCAGATGGATGAACTAACGCAGTTCAAATATTTTGCCCTTGTCCATGAACAGATTCAGTGACTTGGTACCAGAACTGCAGCACAAAACAACACACAGGACTCCCATCTATCTCAACCAGAGATACTGGAGTAGGTCCTATATATTATATATTATTATATTATTGTAATATTACAGCAACAACAAGAATTTTTATTATTTATTTAATTTAATTTATTAAGATATAAAAGGGTTTATCACTAAAACCATCAACATACAGACGGAATGTCTGAGTGTAACAAACAAACACCAGGTACAAATGGTGAATGCTTTTTCGTTCACAACCTGGCCTGTGAGCAAATCTTTACTAACTCACTGCTAACACTATGATGTGGTTGCCATGGCAGCAGACACAACGGGCAAAACAGTTCACAAGATTTAACTTATGAGCCATACAGTTTATATAGACTGAGGATGTTATGAGAACTATTGATATTGAAAACCACACACACACACACACACACACACACACACATCTACTTCTGTTTCCTTACTACTACATGAACTCTGTTCTCTGTTGGATATCTTGTACAGAAAGAAACTGTTACTGAAGCAGCTCTGTGAGACAAAGACCACATCATGTCTACACACACTCACACACACACGCACACACACATGCACACACACAGACAGCAGTATCTGCACTGTTTCTAAACATTAGATTATGAACTGACAGCGTCCTACCTGTTTACCTGAAGCTTCAGCTGCACACAACTCCTCTAAACTGTCACATGACCTCCCTCTCCTCTTCCTGGATCTTCCCCCAAGCAGTACGCTTCCCTCTTCCTGGTAAGGTAAGTGTCATGTGACTGCTTGTTGTCACATGATGAAACAGGAAACAGTAGTGATATGTTGTCAGTGGCATTTCCTTATTGTTTCAGTATCACTCTGCTCACACAGGAAACACACACACACAGTGTGTGTGTGTGTACTGGTGTGTGTGCTGTAGTTAAACATTAAACCTCAGACTGGGAGAGTTGTGTTCATGAGCATTTACAGAGGCTCCAGGTGTGATCGTTTCACTTCCTGTATTTTACTGGTGGATTGTCTTCTTCTTCTTCTTCTTCTTCTTCTTCTTCTCCTTATTCTTCTTCTCCACTTGCAGCATCACATGCTGCTTAACCATGAAAATCAGGTTCCACCACATTCTCTCTGTGTCTTATCTGAACATGTCCCCTGAAGGTGACTGAGGGTCACCGTGGGGTCACAGAGAGAACACATGAACCTCCTGTCTACCTAAACACACTGATGTCTGTCTCACCTATTCACTGGCTGTGAGATTTCAGACAGAGCCTTCTAGTGAAATCTGGAAGCTTAGAATCTGAACATCTTGAGAGATTTACATATTTTAAATGTAATGAATTTAAGTTATAACACAATAAGCCTTGGACACAGAAATGTAACAGTAGTAAAGACAATATTACAAATAAGGGAAACTGTGATAAAGGTCAGATTCATATAACTATGAACACAAACATACAGATTTGATTATTCATATGATGTTTTTCTCCTCTCACTGGTTTCAGGTTTTAGAGTAGATGATGATGTCACAGACCTCAGTGCACCAATCATGACTCGGCAACATTTGAATAGATAGAACAGTAGAATAGACTCAGTTTCTTCACAATCTTTTCAATATCCTGATGATAATGATGATGATGATGATGATGAGCAAAAAGATTAAGTATTTACTCATTAGTGAAACCTCTGCTGAAGTAGAACTTCACAAGACGCTCCACATTTCTCATTTTAAAGCTTCTGATGTTTCCCCTCTAAAACAACACACAACCTAAAATGACAACTTTATTCTCACAATACTATGACCTTCTTTCTTGTAAAATTATGAAAAATCCAAACTTTATTATTGTAATATTATGACTTTATTTTTGTAATATTATGACTTTATTCTCGAAATTTGAGACTCTGTCGTAAGATAGTATCTGCAGTGTTAAAGGAGCTGTATGAATGTGGTTTCTCATCAGAAGCAGGTGTTGGCAGTAACTTGAAGAGCTTATGGTGTTTACAATACAAGAGGTTATAATATGTCCTCTGAGCTGCTACTTATTCAGGACAGTCCGGAGGCTACAGTATCAAAAAGTGACAAAATGGGCCCGAGCTAGCTGGTTAGCATGCTAACTTCAGTAGAGGAAAAGATGTGATAGACACAAGAGTTAACATTGGTGTTTGTTTCCACTTCTGCAGACAGCTGTTGGTGAGTAAAGGAATGAAATTTGATGCTGAACTCACAACCTTTCTTCTAGACTGGTAAGTAAAAAGCTGTTAATGCTAACGTTAGCTATGAACCAAAACTTATATATAACTCCTTTAAATGATTGGGAGCTAACTGGTCAGGACATCATTTCTTTTGACTGAGGCCTGTGACTTGGAACAAGTCACTTCAAACAGCTGCTCTGACTTCAGTGTCATCTCCAACCTCGGGCCCCGGGGCCTCTACACATTGGGCCCACTCAGTAATTCATCTAGAACATAGTGAACAAAATTAAAACAGAATAAAAAAGACATTTATTTATTTCTTTAAAACGTATTCAGACATTGTGTTTCAAGATTTTATCAGCTTCAATATAAAAACACTGAATGAATATTTACTACAGCCCACGTGTGACAGTCCACCATTACTGTTTTCAATGTAGTGTCCTTCATCCTGTCTCCTCCATCCTGCCTCCTTCATCCTGTCTCCTTCATCCTGCCTCCTTCATCCTGTCTCCTTCATCCTGTCTCCTTCCTTCTTTTGATTCTGTCAGCTGCTCAGCTTCACTGTGACCCTTTCACACCAGCACAGGTGTGTTTACTACTGTTCCCAACAATCTTTGCAGGTACATGACTGGATCAGTGGTGTTAGCTCACTGAGCTAATTGTGCAAGTCAAAAGCAGTTTGTGATGCTCTCAGAATGAGTTTGAAGATCTGGGTTTGGGGATCAATCAGTTTGGTTTAAGAGCCGCAGCCTGACAGGAAATCAAACGCTATATAGAGAGGGATTTGAAAAGATTTTGGCAAAACAGAGACAGGTAAACAGTGGAGTTAAGCTTTAAAGTGTAGTCTCTTATTATCCTGTTTTTTTCTTATTTTCATCAAATCTTGAAATCATGAAAAGATCTGGTCTCAACACTCTCTGACTCTCTTTACTCTCAGCTTCAGGCTTCTCATCTTTAAGGAAATAGAGCATTTGTTGGGGACTATATTCAGTGGTGGAGTAATCCACAAACAGAGTGCTGGTTCAACTTGGCAGGGATTTGTTGACAAGAAGAAGATGTCTTTTAAAGCACACAGGTAACACAGGTAAGTGTATACAGACACAGTGGCAGCTCAGTGCATTGACACACCTTCACCGTGGGTCTGGGGGCTCCTGGTGTGTTGTGTTAGAATGGATTGGTCATGGCGAACACGTACGCCACAGGAACCTGCAGCCCGATGTTGACAATGTGCCATTTTCCTATCACTAATGCTCCAGTCACCAGACCTGCTACCGTTCCCAGAGTTCCTGACCACGAGGACCACCTTCCTGCCGTGGCTGAGGCTGCGCCCACCGACACCCCCGCTGCCCCCACCACCCCCAGCAGGGCCCCAGCTTTCCCTCCTTCTCCCAGAGCTGGGGCTAAAACCTCCACCAAGGCCAGTAACCCCCCTGACACTAAAGCTGCCCCTACTATGACTGTCACCTCTCCAGCAGCTCGCCTCACCAGCGGCCCCCCCACTGTGGCCCCTAACCCCAGCTGACACAGTTTTGCCACAAAGAAAGCAGCATTCAGGGCCTCCAGGGACGCCTGGTGGTTCATACGAGTGCTGATGATTTCTTTGGACTGATTCTCCCCCGCCGCATGCATCCTCATGGCCGTTGTCACAACAACCTGCCCGGCATGCAGGGTGAGCATGGCGATGACGAACGTCGCCAGCATTCCCATGCATCCCACCAACATCCAGAACTTAAAGTCCGGAGAGTTCAGGAGTAAGTACGCGATGGCTCCGACCAGAGCCAGGAGCACTATGAACACAGACTGGTGGCTTCCATAACCAAACATCCCAAACCCTGATGTTACTATGGCAACCACCGTCATCGGTATCCCCGAGAAAGCTAAGAAGTCCACATGTTTGACCACCACGGTGTTGATCCAGTCCTGGATGGTTCTCTGCTCCATCTCTGCCTCCTCACTCTCCATCCTCCTCCTCTCTAGCTCCTCCCTCTGCCTTCGCTCAGACGCCCACGTCGTCATGTCCTCTGCCCCCCCCCGTCTGCCTCCCTTCTCCAGCGTCAGGATCCTCTGCTCTACCTGCACCGCCACTCTCTGTCTCTGCTCAGCCTCTGTAATCTCAATCTCTTCCCTCTCCTTGGCCCAGACTACAGATCCCAGAGTGCAACAGGCCTCCCCTTGCTTCCACAGAACTTTAAAGACAAAGTGCAGCGGTGGTTTGAGCACAGTGAAGATGCTCAGCGCCCACAGAAGGCCCACCATCCCATAATTCTTCACAATCCATTCCACGGTTACCCCGAGCGTGGCCCCGCTGAGAGTGGTCCCGAAGGCCCCGGCCAGTCCTGCTGATGCCCACAGCCCAGCGGAGTGTGTGTGGGAGGGGCCGCAGGTCCTCGTGACCACGAACACTGAAGCTACAGCTGCTGCCAGAATCACTCCAGCTACGACCGAGGTCATCGCCGTGGTCAGAGCTGTGGCTCCGATCAGGGTCCCCAGCCCCAGAGCTCCCACTGTCCGGACCTCCTCCATCACTGGTCTCAGTAGTTCTGGTGCAGTCATCACTGACATGGTCTTGTCCACTGGGTCCTCTGTGGCTCCCAGTATGCAGCCTCCCACAACTCCCAGTGCAAAGCCCACAGCTGCCTCCTTTAAAGGGCCCCTGGCTGTTGAGACAAGACAAGAAGAAAACTTAGAGTTATTTAGTGTTGTGTTAGAGGGTGGGGTTTCCTGCTCTGGTTACCTGGTTTCTCCCATTTAGTTTTCTTTTAGTAAACCTTTGGCTTGATGGATGTTTTAATAACTTGTTTAGTCTGATGTATTGTTTCATGGGTCTGAACGTCAACATATTGACAGGGTGTCATGACTGATCCCATCACTACACCGTCTCTTGTTGTTTCATTTCTTTGATTTGATTTGAAGGAAGTGAAGGACATTTAGGGAAAAGCCATTACAGATGAGTAGCTCCTGAGTCAGTGTTCCTATTCCTGTTTTTACACAAGCTTCCTCGCTCCTAACAAAATCTTTAATAAACTCTCCAACTTTAGGAAAACTGTTAATCTGCCCTGACTTTCACTTTTCCTCCACTTAGTTAACATGTTACATCCATATCACTGTTCTTTTACTGCTTTTACACAACCAACAAAATGTCAACAGGATGATCTTATTCGCTGAGAGGCTCATGACCCTAACGATGTGCTGTGGTTTGACAAAACGCTCGTTAGTAGATACAGGGGAGTGTCTACGACCAGCTGCGGAGAGGCAGACCAGGTGACATGGGGATCTTCAGGCTGTCTGACAAATGTGCTTTTTTTTTTTGCTAAAGGAGATTTTCAGAGTGGTCTTTCTTTTTTGTACATTTCAATGCGAAATGTAAAGGTTTACAAAAATACATCAGCGAGATGAGATGAGAGAAGAAGCATCAGTTGATAAGTAACAAACACAAAAGTTAATAACCGATGTTGGATTGAATATTTAGGATTTCCTGACCTGAGATGAGACGGGATGAAGTAAGACAGTAAGTGAGGATTTGATTCTGTAAAACCAAACTGAGAAAAATCCTCTGTTATATTTTTTTATGAACTTAAGACTTCAGACAGGAAGTTTCAGTAATGTAGCACATAATAATGGATTAAATGTGAAACCTTTCACTAACTGGACGAAGTTTGAATTTTGGTGTTAAATGATAAAGCTGAGTTCATATTTCTTCATTCGAGCGTAGCAGTCAATGAGTTTACTGACTCTGCTGAGATGTGTGTGATGAGCTGCAGTCAGCGTCTCTCACCTGACTGGCTGATCTGGTTTAACCTGCACAGCCACCATGCCGCCATGATCCCTATCTGTTTACTCTGCATGTGACTCCAGTGAATGACATGAACGTATGACTGGGACGGTCGAGGCAGAAACGAGGAATAAAGGGAAAGTAACTCTGAATACTATAACCCCCCCCCAAAGTCAGCAGACATTCTTTGTCTGCTCAGCAGCACAGGAGGTGTAATCACACAAAGTTTAGTTCAGCAGTCACACACTGTAACTGTCAGACATGATCAGAGAGATGAATGAAAATGCAGATGTATAAAGAGGATGTGTGTTTACCCAGTCTAGTCTGTGCCATGTTGTTCTGTGATGAGCTGTAGACTGAAGAATCCTCCTCCTGGAGTCCTGTCCTGCTTCTCCAGACCTGTGTCCTGAGTGAGTGCAGATCACTGTGATCGAACATATGGCTGAAAGTGCTTCTTTTCCCTCTATATATGACAGCAGCTCATACAGGATCCACCCACTACCGGTCTGTCCTCTGTGTCCTCCCTCCAACTGATCCTGATCTCCAGGATCTCTGGTGCTCAGTGTCACGTCAGGCAGCATTCCTGTCCTGGTATCTGTCATCTATTGAGGTTTCTCCTCCAGCCCTGTCACAGTTAGACAAAGACCTGGACCCTGACAGCTCCCAGCACGTGTAACTGATCAGAGCAATGTTTGACCAACAGTGATCTTTGTCAAATAGACATCACAAACAGAAACGAGCATTCTTAATTGATCACTCAGGTGGCTTAAGTCTGTATGACTGAGAGTCAAACTACTCTCAAAATGGACCAATCAGGACTGAGCTGAACAACAGATCAAAGCATGCCTCTATGGAGAAGACAAAAGTAGAAAAATGTACCAGATTAAATATGTTTTTGTATTTTCTATTTTTCTTTTGATTTCATGGAGCAGAGGTTTGTGGGGTTGGTGTTTAGTGTTGGAACAAGTGATGACAGAAGAGGTCAGAAAAAATGTCCAACTGTCAAAACTGGACAAGCTTCAATTTAACAGTTTTAAAGTTTAGAATTCAATTTAAAAGTTTAGAATTTAAAGTTTTTCAGATTATGACATTTAATTTGGCCAACTGCAGAAAAAGCCCATGGATCAAGGAAAGGGGAAGGGAAGTATTTTCAGGACATATGTGAGTTGAAAATCTTTCCTGCGGCTAGGCTCTGGATTTGCATATAAATGAAGAATGGGCAGCAGCATTCAAATGCAAGCAATCCATCCATAAAAACCAGTAAATACACGTGTTTTTGCAGCGGTCAGCAAACTGAGTCATCCATTTGCTGTAGCAATGATACTTACAGAATCTATAGCCTATGTTCTGAAAACCTGAGGTGACACAGAGTGTTCACAGCCACAGCCTTGAAACTCAAGTCAGTCACCTCTTTGAATCTGTTCTGAAAACAAACTTAAATCAAGGAGCTTTTGAGATTTTACTTGATTTTACTGACGGTGACTTTATTCTAACGGATTTTTATTGATTGCAGTCTTGCTGATGAAACAGTAATTGGTTCTGTTTTTATTGAGTGTCCTGATGCTTGATTCTTAGATTTTTATGGATTTCCCTTTTGCATTTGGTTTTATTTGCTTTATAGCACAAATCATTTTAACTCTTTGCCTTGTCTGACCTGTAGTCTCACTTTGTAGAAAAGTGCTATAAATAAAGTTTATTATCATTATTATTATTAATAATATTAGGGATAGATCTCCTTTTTATCCCAAGTGATTCCAAAGAAATATTGTCAACAGTTTGTCTACTTTATACTGTCCTATGAGTTTTTTATAACTTGACTTTCCCATTTCTTTTAAACTCTGTAATCCTCTTATTAAGAGTTACTGATGTTTCAGTGGAGAAAAAAATCCCATATGCTCCATCTGCATTGAATGTCATCAACATATATGACAAGAAATGTCATAATAAACATATTCGTCACATTTTTAAATGTAAAAACAAAATCATGCAAAAAGGAAAATTTTATTGGAACTCACATTTGGAAGAAATGAACTGAAAAACCACTAGAAAAACCCCATGGTTTTTACCTAATAAATAAACAAAATAATGTTGTATTCTTAACAAAGTCAAGGACGTCTGAAACAGTGACTTCTATAATGTCATGATATGTGGATGATGATGATAACTCTTGCTGTTTTTGTGGACATGCTAATTTATTATATTAATTATAACTGTATTATAATATTATTATATTATTATTCTGATTTAAATATCTCCCATGTTGTGTGTGTTGAGTGAGGAGAGGGAGGGAGGATGAGGAGGAGGGACAGAACAGGAACGGAACAGGAAAAGGAAAGGGATGTCCAGGAAGCGGAACCTTGCTGCTTAGAAGTCGTACCCCACCGAACCATTTTAGTGTAACTCCATGATGGCAGCTGTGGTGAGAAAACATGTGGAGATGTCAGGTAAGTTTGTGTGTCCTCGTCTCTGTTGTCTCCTCTGTTGAACGCACACAGGTGTGTGTCGCGGGTCTGGGTCTGAGAGACTGACGTGGTGCAGGTGAGCTAGCTGCTTCCTCTGCTCCCCTGTGTGCTCCGAGGCTAGCTTAGCGTTAGCTTAGCACAAGCACTGTTAGTCTTCATGTTGAGTTGAAGTGAAACTACCGCCACAAAAACAGAAAATAAGTCGCACAGACACAACCGGAGGGTCAGGTCGTGTGTCCCGCGTGTGCTGTTGAATAATGCTGCATTCATTGCTCCTCCGATGGTCCCATTTCCCGGGTTGGGGAGTTGTTCTTCTGACGTCGGTGTGTTCACGTGCTGTTAGTCAGGATGTGTAAACAACATGTGCAAGCTATACTGTTAGCTTTTATTAGTCCAGTCCTCACTGTATTACACTGTTTGCTTTTCAGCTATATCAGGTCCAGTCAAACAAGCTCCACCAGATATACTTTATACATGTTCAAATATAAAATATTATTTATACTGTGACTGAACACATCACGGTTATTACTTACTGAGAGATGTGCATCCATATTGCCCAGTATACCTAGTTAATTAATATTTTAACCGACAGCCAATGTCAGTCCGTCTTGCATTACTTGTAGATGATTAGATGATCAGTGTCTTCTTTTAAAACAATGTTCCCCATACTTTATCTGGACATGTCACGCAGAGGTTGCTGCTGGGAGTTTCATTTGGTGCATGTGCATATGAACACATGTTAACATGTACCATGGTTATCATTACCTGATTACTGTTCCTGCCGTTCATTCTGATGCTGTTTTTCTCTTTTTGTGATCAGAAGGATGGTTCAGCTTCAACCTCTTATCAAAGTTGTAAACATTGACACCTGCTCACACACGTAAAATGAGTTGATCAGCTCATACAACTCTGATGGTTCTGATTATTAGGATCCGGTTCTGGATTACTATCAGTCAGTCAGTGTGTGGAACCCTGAGTTGTAGTCTATGAAGAGCCTCCTGACCTGGCTCCTCTGGTGTTCCCAGGGACTCAGCGAGTCACCACAACTCAAGAGTTGTGGTGATGGGGTCTGCTGTGGAACTATAAACAAACTGATGTGTGTTGATTTTGGGAGGGAGGCTGGTTCTGATGTGGAGAGTCTGAAATCACTGAATGACTCCTGGTGAGTGAGACTGGTCTGTATTCATTCATTAAAACTCTGACTGGCTGTGTGGGGATGATGTTGATGATGATGGCTGACTTTAGGCAGGGTGGGGTGACGGCTTGTGTCAGGGACAGATTAGAGATCTTAGTGAGGATCCCTGAGACCTGGTCAGCACATGTTCTAAGTACTGACCCGGGTACTCCATCAAGACCAGTGGCCTCCTCAGGTTCACCAACCTGAGCCCATGTCTCACTGGGTGTTCCTGTACAGGGAGTGTGTGGGTGGAGGCTGGTGGAGGCAGTGTATCCAAGTTAGTCCCACTGACATTCATGGTTTCTGCTCTTGTAGTTTGTGATGTGGTGTGTTCTCTGCCACACCTGCTGTGGGTTGTTGTCTGTGACATGATACTTGATTCTCGAGGCCAAGTAAGATGAAATTAATAAAGCTGAATAAAACATTTAAATACAAGTTTTTCTTTGTGTGACTCAGAGGACGACTCAGAGCCTCAGCTTGAGGACGACAGTGACCAGAATGAGTCGGATGGAGGGAAGGAGGTGGACGGGTCCGATGATGGAGGGAGTGATGGAGGGAGAGATGGAGGGAGCGATGGGGAGGAGGCAGAGGATGAAGATGGAGGAGAGGATGAGGAGGAAGATGATGGTAACACCAATGCTGGATGGGCCGAGGCCATGGCGAAGATCCTGGGGAAGAAAACCCCCGAGAGCAAGAGCAGCATCCTGGTGAAGAACAAGGAGCTGGAGAAGGTGAAGGAGAGAGAGAGACAGGAGCAGCTGGAGAGGAAGAACCAGGTGAGGAGCCCCACACACACGCACACACACTTGCATGCATAGAGATCAGGATTATTTAATGTGATGACTCAATGACTTTGGAAACACCACGCATTTATTCAACTTTAAAACAATCAAAATGGAAAAACAAATTAAAAATGAGATACAAAAATTAACTAATTTAAGTATGTGATATAAAAATTAATAAAAATAAATTAGATCATAATAAATAGGATCAACTATGTTGTAACATTAGTGAACGTCCACAACCTTCTGAAAACTAAACATATATTCAGTATATAAAAATGATAAATAAAAATAAATTGGACCAAAATAAATCTGATGAAATATGTTGTAGTGCACTGAACCAGCATTCTCAACAGTTAGGTGAACTATATTCAACATATTCCACTCAGTAACTCAGTCCAAGGAAATTAAAGGCTGGCCCATCTCTGAACCTGCAAACTGCTCAAGATGACGCACTCCTACTTACGTTTCTAACGTACGCCAAAACGTAACCAGGAAGTGGATGAGGGGGATCATTTTTGTAGGGGGGATGAAATTTGTTGCAAAACAGAATTGTCTTATCTTGATTGTCTTGTTTTCATAATCATTGGAAGACAAAATTGTAAAAAATAAAATTAGATTAATCTCCCTGCCCTAATGTTTGTATTTAAGGTCCCACAACTCACTGCCAGTCATGACAAAGAAAAAACATTACTGTTTTTCAGACTGAAATCAGCCCTGCATTAAAACAATGGGAGGGGGGGGGTTTGTGTTGTTGTTGGGGGCGTGCTGCTTCAGGAAGTCCAGCTGGAGGAGCAGATGCTCAGATGAACTGCACAGAGCTTTATAAACTCCAGACAGGACGTCCCAGCTGTGGAAAGTGTCAGAGCTGCTCCGTGTGACGATGTGCTTGTGTTTCTGTCCGACAGGTGGACAAGAGACAAGCCTGGGAGATGCTGTGCAGAGAGAAACCCGACATAGTAAAGGACCGTGAGAGTGAGAGAGCTCTGCAGAGGATCGCCACCAGGTATCTGCTGCTTTTATCTCTCAGGTTTGTTTGATTCTGTCACAACCACGTGTCACTGCTGATCCACGGTGTGTGTCTCCACTCAGAGGGGTGGTGCAGCTGTTCAACGCTGTGAGGAAACACCAGAAAACCATGGATGACAAGGTGAAGGAAGTGGAAGGCTCAGAGAGGAAGAAGGCCAAGATCCTGTCTTCTGTCTCGAAGAAGGACTTCATCGACGTGCTGAGGAGGACGGAGGGAGGAGGTGGAGGCTCCGCCAAGGCGGAGAGGGAGGAGGTCAGTTCAGTCATGTTTAAGATTCATGTTCAGATGTGTCTGTCTGTCTCCTCAGTTACCTTCACACCAAAACACAAACTGTGATTTCACTGAGTGACCACATGGGGTCACTGCTGCCTCAGGAAACCTGAAGAGAGCAGAGCCACAAGCGCTCACTGTGTGTGTGTGTGTGTGTGTGTGTGTGTGTGTGTGTAGGCTGCAGCAGACGAGAAGCCTGCCTGGAGCGTCCTCAGAGACGACTACATGATGGGGGCCACCATGAAGGACTGGGACAAAGACAGTGACGGAGAGGATGCTGATCCTCACACAGGAGGGGGGGCAGAGGAAAGTGATTCAGACTGACACCATCCATACTCACTGAGGGGACTGTGTGGTGCCTTCAGGGACAGTCTGGGCAGCACAAACCCTGACCTGCAGAGACCAGCAGCTCAGAGAGGACGGAGAAAGTGTGGAAATGTTCCTGGACTGATAAACACATAGGACAAGCTTCTCTCGGCCGGTCGCAGTATGATGTGTTCTGTGACCGTCCTCCGCTCCGACCACAGGTCACATGTGGAGACGGGATGTAACAGATGAGAATGGAGGAAGTGTCAGAGGCTCCTCCAGGTTTGATCTCCTGCTCCATCTTGGAGTCAGAGTCCATCTGCTCCTGTTCAGTCTACAAACTGTTTTCTGAGTGAACGACCTGTAAACTCTGTAAATAGACATGTTTTCTACTATAATGGTTGAATAAACAGCCAGTTCATGTATCACATACAACACTGTTCTCTTTGTGTGACTGTAAGTAATTTCTTAAAACAGCTGTTCAGTGTAGTTTTTATCAAACAGGAGGAAATGGAGCATTTGTTAGGGACTATTTTTAGCGGTGGATTAATCCACATTAGGAGCTCTGTATTTGTGGCAGCAGGACGACGTGTGTGAGGGATTGAGTCAAAATAAATTACTGTGTGTGTGTTCATGTTGATGAAGGAACATGAGACACACACACACACACACACACAGTACTTGTCAGTAAGAAACATTCAGTGTTAGTTAAGATGACGAGAATAACAATATAATATAAATTAAGCTGCGATGATTGGGACGTGACAGTGGATGTAGACTTCTGTCCGTACTGAGTCTAATGCTGATCTGAGCCACTGACCCAGAACCTGAAGGTCTTGACGTCCTGTCATCCTGAACCTTGAACTACCACCTCAGTGTTTCTGTTGGTCACCTGTGAACAAAGGTGAACTCTGGTTACACCAAGATGATGAGCGGCAGCAGCATAATGTCCTAATGAGTGTATGTATAAAGTCCTGTGACAGGGTCCATGTTGAAGAGTCACTGAGATGAGCCCCTGGTTTCTGTGGCCCTCAGCATGTATGTTAGTCCCCAGTAGGTGCCTGTGGCTCCTCTTGACCCCTGGGCTCCCACCCAGGTTAGTCCAGACCTGGTATGATTTTATCATTACATAAATGATGGACAAAGCTATGAATATGTGAAATTATCCTTTAATGAGCAACTTAACAGTCCTTATAAAACCTGGTCCAGGGAAGGGTCTGTATTCAGTTTTCCCTCAGCCCTGACCGACCAGTCTCCGACAGCCTGATGCTGCCTCCACCAGGCTTCACTGCTGGATGGTGGTGTTCAGGTGATGAGCAATGACTGGTTACATGACTGAGAACTGAGACCAGACAGTTCTGTCCTGGTTTCATCAGCTCAGAGAGACCATCAGGTTCTTGGTCTCCTCTCCTCTCCCTGACGTCTCAGTTGGTCCAGGTCCAGCTCTAGAAGAGTCCTGGTGGCTCCAGACCTCTTCATGTCAGAGTGATGGAGACCACTGTTCTTCTCAGGAACCTTCAATGCAGCAGAAATGTTTTGGAGCCTCGACACAGTCCTGTCTCTGAGCTCTGCAGCAGCTCCTTCCTCCTCAGGGTTTCTGCTCTGATGATTGTCAGCTGTGAGACCTGATATAGACAGGTGTGTGTCTTTACACATCATGTCCAATCAGCTGAGTTTACCACAGGTGGACTCCAGTCAAGGTGTAGAGAGAGAGATCAAGAGATGATCCAGAGAAATGGAGGAAACTGAAGTGTGTGTCTGCCTACGTCAATTTAAGATTTCAGTTTTTACTTTTAAATAAATGTCTAAACTTCAGTTTTGTCATCATCATGATGAGGGTTAGGGTTAGATGAGTCCTGAGTCTAGACTTATGAGGGAAACATGAATTTAAATGATTTTATCAACAACCTGTGAACCAGTCTGATTCTGAATGAACTGTGTGATCTATCATATCAGCTCCTGCATGTGGAGCAGGTGCTGGACATGACACTCAGCCTGAGACACACACACTCTCACACACACACACACACACACACACACACACACATACACATACACATACACATACACATACACACACGCACACCTCCTCGTGTCACATCTGTCAGTGTGGGTGCTGATTTAGTGACACCATCTGGTTTCCAGCGGCCTCTGGTGCAGAGAGTCTCAGAGCGGCTGTCAGGTCTGATGGATGACCGGCTGTGGTCGGGCGGAGTGCAACAGGTGAACGGAGGCGTCCTGATCCATGGACTTCACTGATTTGATGCTGTGGCACCTGTCAGGGACTTAGCAGGACTTCCTGGCCCCAACACACACACACACAAAATATAGTCCAACTAAATCCACATCAGGTCTGTCTGGGAGGTCTGATTCTGCTGCAGTGTACACTACAACCAAACAGCATTCACCCTGATGGAATTCAGAGATCAGTGACTGACCGGTGACCTCACACTACATCACCTGTGGCCCAGAGGCGCAGGTGCAGCTCCCTGCAGTGCTAACACAACTTCGGACTCAGTGAGGTGAAGTTCTAGCTCCTGACTCTATGAGACATTCAGGACGCTGTGACGGAAACCTCAGATATGAATCTGCATCAGACCATGATGGTGTCATTATGTTTGTACTCAGCTGCTCAGCAATGACCCTTGAGAAATCCACAGTGATGGTCAGAGACCTGAGCTCAGCAGGAGATGAGAAACTACAGACTGAAACCTCCAGCAGACCAGTTCACAGAGTCCAGTCCTGCACATCAGAGGGACCTGGTCAGACTGCTCCGCTGTCTTCATCTGTGTCCGTCAATAAAGTTCAACTTCAAATATTGTTAGACGTGATTCTCACCCATCATCTCTCATCTGAGGAGAAATGTCTGCCGGGAGCAGATTCACCGATCCCACTGGATTTGTCCCGGTCCAGAACTGCAGGAGAGGTGAAGTCTGGCTCTTTAAGTTAAGACAATATCAACCAGACAAGAGAGCCACTGTTCCTGAGGCAGGCTCACCAGGTCATGCTCCTGTTGTTCTCTTATTGTGTATTCACTTTTCTGGTTGTGTGAAGTCTTCATTGATGTGATGCGCTGCTATCATTTTGTTCACCTCGTTCACCTCCAGCTCCCGATGAACCTGCTGTAAAGTCAGTCAAGTGACACAGTTCAGACACACGTCATCAGACTGTGACAGAACATGGTTGATTAAATGAAGAGGAGGATGAAATCAATAAATCGTCAGATCATCTTCAGATAAACAGAAGAACATCAACAACTATCTTAAAAACATTTCACTGCAGCTGCGTCATGAGGGATTCTCACTGTGACAGTGACGTGACTGATAAACAATAATGTAAAAGTTGAACTTGTGTCTGATGGAGACTCTTCGCGGTCTCTAGAGTGGCAAAGTCCAGAGGCCTCGAGCTGACCGGCTTTAGGACCCTGCGTCACGACGCACCGGAGGCCAATGGACCATTATCCGCTGCAGCGCTGTCCCAATGGGCACAGCGAGCACTCCTATTTACAACAAACCGTCTCGTAGCGTGGATTGAAGGGTCCCCAGCTTCGGCGGTGATGACCGCAACCTGGGTTTGAAGCGGGCGGAGGGGGGAGCACGTGGTAACTTTAGTCCCATATAAACCTCCCAGCGGCCGCTGCTGTCTTTGGCACGCGTAAAAGAGCCGTTCCCAACTAGATGGGGTGAGGGAGACGCGTAAAACGCTCTGCAGTCGCACCGAGGAGAGAGGCCCAGCTGTTTTTACCGCGCTGCTTTTAAAGGAGGATTTTCAGCGTGAAATCACAGTTTTCTCTGGATCTGGTTTCACCTTGAGGCGGCAGCTCAGCCTGAGAGAGTTGGCACCGTGCGTCCCTGCTGACGCCAGGACCGGGTTTTAGTTTAGGTGTATTTACAGAGCTTGTGGAGAATAAGAAGAGATGAGTATGAAGGCACTGAGGCTGAGCAGATAGAGACCTCGGGCCGGTGAGGTGCGGGTGGAGAGCGGCGAGCCCAGCGGTCTGATGCGGTGGAGGTGTGCTCAGGGCTGTGCGTCCCGCTGACGATCACCGCTCAGCTGTTTTCATCCACATCGTCTGCTCCAGCTCTGGCAGCACTCGGCGCATTTACGCACTCGCTGTGCGGTCACGGTCAGCGGGAACAGATCGGCGCGACTCCCGGATAACGGCTCTTTTCTCCGGGGACAGTTGAATGGATTTTCAGGTTCACTTTACTGAAACTGGGGAATTAGAACCAAACGATTTTCAAATAACTGCTTGGCGCCACTCGGCTCGCGTGCGTAAACGCTCTCCACTGTGATCATTTGATCAAGAAATGCGTCTGCCTGGCGACGTTTAACTGCCCGGTCTGTATTTCCCTGAGTCTGTTTGTGTGTGAGTTTGAAGACACCGGAGGAGAAGATGAACCTGTGTGTCGTCGGTCTTCTCCTCGCGCTGGATTTAGCCACCGTGGCGCTCAGCCTGTCCACATGCAGCACGCTGGACATGGATCAGTTCAAGAAGAAGCGCATCGAGGCCATCCGAGGGCAGATCTTGAGCAAGCTCAAGCTCACCAGCCCCCCGGAGGACTTCCCCGAGCCCGAGGAGGTGTCCCGGGACATAGTGGCCATATACAACAGCACGCGGGACCTGCTGCAGGAGAAAGCGAACGAACGCGCGGCGACGTGCGAGCGGCAGCGCAGCGAGGAGGAGTATTACGCCAAGGAGGTACACAAGATCGACATGCAGCCCTTCTACCCGTCAGAGAGTAAGTGTGTGCGTGTGTGCGTGTGTGTGTGTGTGTGTGTTCATGTGGCCTCTAATGTTATTACTTGAGTGTGAGGTGTTAAAGTCTTAGACAGCGTTTGGACGCGGTCACGTGTGCTTGTGATTGTTTTGGAAAATCCGTCCCATCATGCTCTGCCGCTGCAGAGCTGTGGTTCTGAGACATCAACAACCTGCCCTCTAACTCAGAGTCCAGCACCTTTCACTAACTGTTAGCACCAGGGTGTGTCAGAGCAGCTGGATCAACCTGTGAGGGGCAAAGCTTGTTGTTGGGGACTGATGGTCTCTGTAGTCAGTATTATACAGAGACCCTCAGTGTGAGTGTGTGTGCGTGTGTGACGCAGCAGCCAAGGACGTCACAGAGGGAGTTTCACACAACACCCTGATTTAACAAGGAAGAATCATAGAGCATGAAAATCTGTGGTGTGTGTGTGTGTGTGTGTGTGTGTGTGTGGGGGGGGTCACTCACTCCACATGCTGACAGATTCATACAGTAGTTGCTGTGTAAGACTCACTGGACTCCCATGAACATCCTCCATGCTGTGCAGTCCGTGTAGCAGTCTCCCCAGTCACCCATACTGGGATCCAGTCCTGGGTGTAGTGCAGCTGTGGAGTAATCAGGTTCCTGCGGGCCACCAATAGGGGTCCGGTCAACTGAGGCAGCGAGGCCCGAGGCTTGGAGCTCTCCATCTGTGCTGGTTGTTGATTGGTCAGATAACAGATGACTTTAAATTAGAGTTAAGTAAATTAAGTAAATTAAATTGATAACAGAGGTCCTGCCCTAAAGAGCACTGAAGGAGTTGTCCCCCCCCCCACGTCCCCCTCTTTAAAAGCAGGAGATGTGATGGCACGTACTCAGATTTCTGAATGTAAAATGGTGCTGATGCGAGAACAGTGACATCATGACCGTAATCATCATCATCAAGCTTTGACCACGAGCCATTTGTTCCTGGTAACAGTGTGGAATTGTTTCTGTCTGTTTTTTTGTGTCGATGTTAAAACTCTTCAGCTTGTTTATGTCTGATTTTCCCAGAAGGCATTTTCAGCTCTGGGTGATGTAACAACACTGATCTGCAGTGTAACATGGATTTGTCTGTGTGGAAGTTTTTATTACTTTTATCTGTAAAATTGTTGGATTAGCCCTTTATTTATTCAAATCCGTGTCTGAAGATAAAACTGTGTTACAGCAGTTTATCTAACACTTTGCAGCCTGACGGATCTACAGCATCCCCTCACACTGAAGCTGCCTCCTCACAGGATGTGATGTTGATGAACTGTGTGTGTGTGTGTGTGTGTTGATCTGCTGAAACAACTGGTTTCATTCAGCGCCTAACGTTTGCAGAGGAAGCTGTTTGTGTAATAATCCTTCAGGCAGGAGGCGTGGCCTCACCGCTCTGCTGACAGCCTCTGTGCTGAATCTGCAGCCGACCCTGACCTTTGACCTCCCGTGTGGAGATGAATTTCTGCTTCAGCAGATCAAAGACACATGAGAGGAAAGGCTCGGCTGTAGAAGCTAAATGATCAGAGTCAGTGAAGCTGCAGAGAAGTTAACCAACATGTTTCCTCCACATCAGAGACGTGAAGTGAAGCAGAAATAAATGAGACGACGTCCTGAGGCCCCAAGGTGTTTTCTGCACTAAATGTTTTCCTTGGCCCCGCCTCTTGTGTAAACACCTTCAATATGAATAGAAGAGGCCCGATGCCAAGTGCAGTCAGGAAAGCATTCACAGGGTATAAATAATATAGAGTCAACACACAGGGAGGAGAGGGGCCACAACTGGTCACCATTCATGTGAACTGGTGACACTGGCCAGGTCCTCACATCTGCAGACAGACGCTGACAGCAGAGAGTTAACCCTTCAGCTGATAGGCTGTGTTTATTTAGTCTCTGCACACTGGACGTGTGAAAGTGAACTTCACACACACACACACACACACACACACACACACACACACACACACACGGTATCAGCCTTATTTGGTTGGGCGCCAGGAAGTCCTCAGAGGCTGCAATGTGTGGCACTGGCCCTGGAAGGTTTACAAAAATGTTGGGCAGCAGGGTGGGAAGGGCGAGGGGGTGAGGCGGTGTGGGGGTGAGGGGGTAGGGTGGGTGAGCAGTGTGTGTATGGAGGGGGTTGGAGACACTGTCCCAGGTCTCACAGTCGTCTATTTAAACCCAGTTAGCTGGGAGACATTGTGTGTGCCCTGCCACTCGCTCCATGGAAAATTCCAGCAGCAGAGACTCTGTTGCTGGGCTATGGACGGGTGGAAGAAAGACCCCTCCAGACAACCTCCCCCTCCTCATCCCACTCTCCCTCCCCCTCCCCCTCCTGATCCTGTTACCTCCCACCCCTCCCCTTTGTCTATCTACAGGTGCCCACAGTTGCAACAGTTTCTTCTGTTACACTGAAGTCACAAGTCAAAGTGGAATTCAGCCAATGTTACACACACATGTCAAGTCTCCTCAGTCTGTGTAACGTCTTCTGATGATGTCAGAGTGATGTCATTGGGGTTATCTCTGTTTGGAGTGTTTGAAACACACAAGTGTTTATCAGGAAGGGAGGCTCTCACCTGATGATAAACAAGACTGACAATGTAAACACAAACAATTTGTTATTTTTTAACATGATGTCAGGTGTGATGTAGTGATGTCAGGTGTGACGTTGTGATGTCAGATGTGATGTTGTAATGCCAGGTGTGATGTAATGATGTCAGGTGTGATATTGTAATGTCAGCTGTGATTCAATGATGTCAGGTGTGATGCAGTGATGTCAGGTGTGATGCAGTGATGTCAGGTGTGATGCAGTGATGTCAGGTGTGATGTTGTAACATCAGGTGTGATGTAGTGATGTCAGGTGTGATGTTGTATCATCAGGTGTGATGCAGTGATGTCAGGTGTGATGTAGTGATGTCAGGTGTGATGTTGTAACGTCAGGTGTGATGCAGTGATGTCAGGTGTGATGCAGTGATGTCAGGTGTGATGTTGTAACGTCAGGTTTGATGTAGTGATGTCAGTGACGCCATATTTACATTTAAACCAAACTTTCAGTCTACATCCATCTCCTCATCTCAGTCATGGAAGATCATGAGCCACAACATGAACTAATTTTCATAGATTCATTCTTTATGATGTATTTGTTCTCTGCAGTAAAGTCAGAAACACTGAGACACCACAGTGTAAACTTCAGTAACAACTGTTGTGGGTGTTGTGTGTGGACATATTCATCATGTATAATAGTAAATAGTGAGACGTTCATATTAACAGCGTATAAGGATGAGGATGAGAGGCTGGTTGTTGTTGTTTAAATGTTCACCGTCAGTGTCACTGCTGCACGTCTCATACTGAATTATCACAGAACAGTGAACTTTATTTACCTCATGTAAACCGTAGAAACAGATAACCTGTTCTTCTGGACATTTTAAATGTATTTATACCACATTAAATTATTAAATTATGCAGCAGAAGTGTTTTAAGAGCTTTGAGTAAATGAAATGATAATTTTTACTAATGACATAACATAACTTAAATCTCACCAGAACAGTTTGATTCTGGTTTATCTGGTCTGGATCCAGCAGGAATAATATTAATAATCTTTTTGCTCTGGGCTTGGATTCTTTTTCAGCTGCTCTCAGACTGATCAGTTTCAACTTTGACCTGAAACAACGTCACCTGAAAGACACAAAGGTGGAGAAGTTTTCATACACTCATCCAGCCCCTCATGGTCGTCTGCTTTTCACCAGAATTCATTCATATTAAACTGAAATATTTAATAAGAATTCAGTAGATCAGTATTGAGAATATCATATATACTGATCATATTGATCTCAAAATCTGTGGTTACATGTGAACAGAATCAGACTCCACATGTGCAGAGACGTGATGGTTTGGTTTGGTGCAGGGTGTGTTGTGTGTGTGTGTGTTGTTGTTGTTGTTGTTGTTGTTGTTGTGTGTGTCCTCCATCATCAGCAGATACTGGTCTACAGTATCTGCTGATGATGCCTGACACACTGTCAGGCTGATGATGTTGTGTGTGTGCAGAGATCACTCAGTCACAGCCAGTGTTTGTCTGTGATGATGTGCAGCAGCTGATTTACTCTTCTGTTTGCTTTGGAGGTGTCCTGGAAACACACGGTGCGCACACACACACACATACAGTATACACAGACCCAGCAGCAGTGTATCTGACAGTGACACAGAGCCCGCTGCTGTAAATCTCCTGTCAGGGTCTAATAATCTTGGCCAGCATTTCAAACAGAGAGAGGCTGTTTGTTGCAGCACTGAACATGGAGCCAGAGATTTACTGCGTATTTACAAAGTAAATGTGGACCACATGTTGCTCTCTGCTCTTATTTACTGAGCAGTAATTAGCTCCCATCAGGTAACAATCCACCACATTACACACTTTGAAGCAGGTTTAACAGCATTTGTGTTGGCGAGGTCACATGAAAACATTACACAGCACTGGAGGACATCAGTGTGAACAATGAGGAGACTCGGAGCTGCTGATCTCCCAGCAGAGTGGACTGTGTGCGTTCAGGTATCGGCAGAGTGAAGACACATTTCTGTGGCTGCAGGACACCGAGAGCCACAGGTCTCAGATCAGCCTCTAATCAGGCCTTTGAAGAGTCTGCAGGAAGGATGTGTCACTTTTTAATAGGAAGCAGAGACTGCGAGGCGGATATATGGTGTGTGTGTGTGTGTGTGTGTGTGTGTGTGTGTGTGTGTGTGTGTGTGTGTGTGTGTGTGTGTGTGTGTGTGTGTGTGTGTGTGTGTGTGTGCAGCCTCCATCCTGCCCCAAAGACAAAATATGACTCGCAATCAAACTCAAGCCAGCCCTAAAGCAGAGGTCCCACGTTGTCCCTCCCAGCTCTGACTCTGTCCAGTAACCCTCAACATTTCAAACCTGAACTCTCCAGTCAGGACACGGCGTCTCTGTGGTGTTGAACCTGAGGCTACATCCACACTACTACGTTTTCATTTTA